ACTGGGGTTGTAACCCCAGTAGAGTTAAATAGCATTACTCTTTCCTCGTTGTTATCACTTGCACTTGCGTAATTGCTTCCATAATTATCATTAGCCCGATTAATATGATTTATAAATTATATTAATAAAAAAATCAAATTCATCCAGGGGCGGCCGCTAGGTTTTTTTTTTTTTTTTTTTTGTCTTTTCACATTGTTTTAATAAAAAATTTGTATGACTCAATGTAACATCTAAGTCTCAAAATGTTAAACATTTTTTATATTTAATTACACGTTCGAGATAAACGAAATATACGTAAAAAGAATTTTAATAATATTGACATTTTAAAACGTAATTGATGTTGGATTGTTAAATCAATTTTAACAATTATATTTGGCTTGTTATTTTTTTTCATCGTTTAAGGTTTTCAATCGGAAAGATGAATTACAAATTTTACAATGAATAGTTCTAAAAAATTCTTGTTAGTTGATAACGTGAACGAAAAGTAACATGTTGTGTCACATTTTAATTTAAATATATTACTTTTTTGAATTTTTGTTTAAAAATTTGCGTCACTCCCAACTTATAGGTTGTTGTGTTCCTAAAATAAAGTTTTATGTTATATGTTTAGTTAATGTAAGAGAAACATAATCACAAACAGATAACATGTAGAAGAAAATCAACCATATACTCGATTTATTATAAGGTTTTAACTAGTATTTGTCACTTTTTTTTTAATTTATTTCACTTCCAATTTATAGGGTGTTATGTTCCTAAAATGAAGTTGATAAAAGTACAATATAATCACAAAGATACAACATGTAGAAGAAAATCAACCACCTACGGATATATTTTAAAGTTTCGATTGGTGTTTGGCACTTTTTTGAATATTTGTAACGTATTTTTTTAAAATTTCTATCACTTAATTGAAATGCTTCCATATTTAGTGAGTGTTTGGTGAAGATTAAAATTAGATTGTTAGTAGATTGTAATAGAAATTTTTAAAATATGTGGTTGAAAAGTTGTGAGACTCAGAAAAGATGTGATTAATATTAATTATTTGACTTTGACTTAAATTAAAATTTGATTTTAATTCGAAACAAACATGGCTTTAATGTCATAAAAATAAAGATCATAATATTTCTGAAGCATGAAGCATGCATTTATTGTTAGTTTAATTTCATGTAAAAAAAAAAAATGGAATCCAATCAGGGGCATAATAGTCTTTATGATTACTTATTATCACATTATCAAATAATAAAGACATTTAAAAATTAAAACCACAAGTTTCTTGCTTTTCCTTGGGCTATTGGATCTTGATATTCGTCATGACATTTTCCCCCACCCTATAAATATGGATCCTTTAAGCATTCTTCCCCAACCCAAACTTCTCATAGTTCCTATATAACGAACCAATTATGTCGCAGATTCATTCTACAAATGAAGCCTTTGACCTCGATCTCGCCTTAACGATGGTAGATTACGCGTCGGACTCGGGCATAAACCAGTCGACGGAATCCATGGCTGCCGATTCGATTGAGATGCCTACGGTTACTGCGAGGGGTTCCTGTGCAATTTGTATGGAGGGATTCCGATCGGGCAAGCAAGTCCAGTGTGGACACGTGTTCCATGCAGATTGTATCACAAGGTGGCTCTCTCTCCATAACTCTTGCCCTTTATGCCGGTTCCAAGTCTCCACCAGCTAGGAGGTTGTGTAAATTATTATTTATTATTATTATTATATACTAATTCACCGAATTTTTTCATAGGTAAAAGATGCCAATTTCTAATTTTATATCTTTCTATTAATCAATAACATTAAACAAATAGAAATCTAAAAGAATAATATTTACAAATATTTTACAAATAATAATTTAGATGCAAGAAATGAGTTTATTTTTGCTATAGACATTGTATTGTCTACTCTCAGTCACATTAAGCCCATGTTTGACAACCATGCTCTTGGAAAAAAGAGTTTTGAATAGTGATTTTTAGGAGAATGTGTTGCTAAAAAGAATAATCATTTTTAGGAGAATGTTTGACGATTTTCGATGCTGGTTATTCAAATGTAGAAGGTATCCCATAGGCAATACTCGAAATTCAGAAGAACTGCGTAGGGGGCCATTGAACGGCTAAGAAAAGCCCACAACAAGGTTCAAGTCTACGGATCTATTATAGTATTTCCAAGAGGTTCTTTAAAAGTGATGTACTCTCTATTTTAAATAGTTAACCCTTGAAATTATGCTCCAAGAGATTCTTTAAATTAACATTTTAAAATAGAGAATGGATTAGCATTTCAAATTTAGAAAGCCAAATTCAATCTCTAAAATTAATCCAATCAAATAATATATACAAAAAAANTGCTGCCAAGAATTGGAGCAAGGACAACCGAAAGTGGAATTTTACAATTCAATTTTTCAGTGTCGTCGCTTCCACTTGTTCCGTCAACCTTTTAGGATAAGAGGGGTACAGAAAATGCCTCTAGTCAATGCTCAAGCACCAAGTATTATACCGCTAAAGTAACCCATGTCATATTTTCAAGAAAACTTGAACGACCTTTAAACAAAAGGGTACATGTACCCGAATCCGAAGAATAAAGCCCATTTCTTGGCTTTTATTTTTATTTTACTTTTATGTTTTTTATTATATATATATATATATGAATGAATGAAAATAGAACACGAAAAGGGTACCTTAATACATGACCCACCTCTTAAAAATCTCCAATAGGACAGGGATGGAGTTGGCCCATCTCAGACTATCCCGACCCACCCTATTTCCATTGTTATGTACCATACTATGATTTGATGAGATATAAATGGAATGTGAACAAAAATATTGAAAGATTAGGAATGAGTTGAAAAGAGTATGTTCGAGTAAGAAATACCTTAATAACTTGAAACATAGATGTCATGTTCTTTGACACTTATCTACTTGGCAAGTAGTTTCCAAGCAAAAGAAATCAAAATAATATATCTTAAAAAAAACACTTACACCGTGTTTAAGATAAGTTAACATTATATTTAATAACAATATTATCTTCTTCATAGTTTAGAAGCTGTGTGTCACTGATGTAAGTCAAAACTCGATGCCAATAAAGTATACATATTGGATTAAATAACTACATGCATGATTAATAAATAAATAAAAATTAAAATCTTTCATATAGTACTAATTATTGTTTAAATTTGAGTCCCGCAAAATTTATGATCTAAAATATTTTAATATCATCAAGTCTATTTCTAGCGAAGCCGGCTGATTTGGTTTTAATATTTCAATATCAACTGTAACCAAAATCGAATTGGGCATAGACGTAGAGATACGTTTTACATGCCAAATAGTCAAATACTTTAGGCTTTTTATAACAATTTTACTAACCCCTGTTTGGGAGTCATTTTAAGGAAATTATAATGAGAATTTGGAACAGTAAAGGGGGCCCCACGGATATTTTTACTACCTTCTTGTCGGTCAAATATATTGTTTATGGAAAGGCAAAAGTGCCCCTTATATTTGCATTAAATATTCCCAAATCAGTGCATTATTGACATTTCACACTTGTGCAAACACGGTCGCCATTTTTTCGTCAATTATTACAGCCGAAAAGGTTGCAGTATACTGTTTCCAACGTTCGAAATTCTCATTATAATTTCGAGAAAATAGCTCCCAAACAGAGCCTAAATTTTGATAAATTGTACGATTGAAAAGTTGATAACACTGTGAATGCCATAAAATGTATGGTTCAAATATTAATTTTGAACCCAACTTTTTTTTAAAAGATATTTTAAAGATGTACTTAGGGCAACTAGGGGTATCTTCTGTATTTGGTTGACTTTCTTATGAAAAAGAAGCAAAAAATTGAATGAAAATAGACAAAAGGTGGACCTGATGCGACAGTCAAGTTGCTTGCTCGCGCCATTCGATTATCAAATTGCAGTCCAATTGTCCAAAGTACTTCAGCCTAATATTTTATTTTATAAAAACATGTTGCAACTATTATTTTTTTATTATTATTATTATTTTTTTGATATCCAGGTATCCTAACTTACATCAGACTATGTCCTGGACCACCCATCCCCGGCCCCTCAGTGATGGGTGGAGATTAATCGCGGGATATGCCCAATTTGATCAG